TACATATAAGAAATTAAATTGCAGAAATTGATTTCTGTGTTGTCTTAGGTCGAAATATAAACTTTTTGACGGCAAAATGCGGAGTGGATACCAAGCGCTGTTCTTTTTGCGAAGAACCATCTTACGCTGAACTTAGTCATTGCACAATGATCGTGCAGCAGTTCAGTTTTCTTCTTTAGCTTAGCATCGTCTAGGCAAGTTTTCTTTTCAATTTTTTTAATTAGTTCTGGCATGGTATCCCCAATTCCTGCCCGTGCTCGAGTAATCATCAAGGGATTTTCGTTCTTGGTCAAATCAACTGTGTCACTTGTACAACACGATCGTCGTCCTGTGAAATCGGGACTGCTTCTCCTTGCTTAGTAAGGAACTTTATATGTACTCGTATGTGACGATATTGAATTTTTTCCATTTTTCACTTTTTACTCCAGATTATGTTGCTTGGTTAGCGAAAGCATAAAAATTTATTGTCTAATAATATTGAAACCTCGCATTTATATTAATTATGAGTCACTTAACCCTATCACCCACTACAACCTACTCATACTCAGCTACCGCCGTGAATTACTGGAATAAATTTCAGCCGAGAGGTCCAATTTTCAATCACTTTTTGCAGCATGTAGCGCCCTCTTGCTGATACGAAGGATCTTCCACTTCAAAATCCTCCAATTCAGGCACAAAAAAGTCATTAATCATGCCACTATAGCGTTCGGCTTTGACAGTAACATTATGAACGGTTTCATTTTTGATGAAATTCGGACCACAAATTTCTACCCATAGAGCACATTAAACAGTTACTTTTTGAGAATGTAACGGCGTGGATTATGATCACTCTAAATGTGAAAATTTTATTTATTAATGCAACCATTCATTCAAATGGGAGCATAATCGCTGAGCAAATGTTTTTTGTGAAAATCGGGTTACAGGACCACCTCGTTTTGGGCCCATTTACGGAATATGCAACGCCCTTGATGGTCGCTCCGTTTGCCCGAAAACCAAGATCCTTCCGATGAAATCTTCCATAAAGTGGATGCGTGCAGCAGCAAATGTTTACGTGCGGTGACCGATGAACTCATTTGAGTCTTTTCTGATAGTCTAGTCTATAGCCGACGCTATTTCGTTGCGCATTGCATGGCGTCTCTGAGAAAAGTGATACATCGTTTTTCAAATTACCGACTCTATTGGGCGATTATGTCGACAGAATTACAAACGTTGTTCCGGAGTAAGTCTCTTCGTTATGAAATAGTAAACCAAACTGAGTAAAGTATCAAGGAGCAGCTCATTGAAAACCTTACGTCTAAACAAAGCACCCTTTACAATGCCTTCGTTTTATTTACATTTTCCACTTAATTTCCATCTTAAAAAATATATATATTTTTTCTATTTGCATCAATTTCAAATTTTATTCACTGCCATTTAGCTCCCACCCTCCCACCTCTACTTGTCAATGCTAAATGAATGTCAATAAATATGGCGATGTAGTATGTATATCTGTATGTATGTATGTATGTATGTATACTCACTTGTAAGTAGCCTCTACGATCTTGATGCATAAGTCAAATTAAGCTAAAGTGCTACTGTAAATATTTAACAGACTAATAACAGTATATAATTTTTTAGACAACCCAATCAAACTAAACATCACATACTCGCACATATATACATACATATGTATGTAGGTAATCCACCACCCATAGAAGCGGCTGTTGCTGTGAGTGAGTTTACTCTGCGGACGCTAGCAGCGCTGCTACTGCAACTCTGTTGGCTTTAGTCATTGACACAATTACATTTTCAATTGATTTTTTATGTACACACAATAAATGCATATCGAAATGTTATGTGTATGTATGTATGTATGTAACGGCGTACAAATTTTTTATATTTTATGTTCGCTACTTTTCCATATAAATATTAATAATTTTTTTTCTGTGGCGCGGGCAGCCGCGCATTCGTCATTCGCTATGCGATTTATTCTCATGGTTTGTTCTCTTTCATATATATTTGTAACCGCTGAAGCGATTTTTCGGCCGAGCTCCTCCTCCAAATTTGTGGTGGTGCGTCTTATTGTTTTTCCAACAAACGGAGGGACCTGCTGTCTATACCAAGCCGCCTACGAACGGCTGATGGTTTTTTTATGAGGACTTTTTGATTTTCATGTCTGAAATGCACTCGAAAGGGTGGCCATTTCCTGCCGAGGGGCGACCGCAATTAGAAAAATTAACTTAATTTTTTTATTTAAATTAATTCTCTTTTAACTTTTGTTTGTTGCTGGCAACGAGATATGAGCCCAGGCCTTTCGAACGTCAGTACGCAACGCTAACCACGCGGCTGCCTTTCCCTTTCTGATATCTTTTATTTCTTTTTCTTTTTTTTCTAGCGTCGTGCAATGATAATGTTTATTTACTAAACATTTATTTTTATATTTGTAAGTTTTATTTAATTGATTTATGCAAGCAGTTATAAAAATTTTTTTTTATACAAAATTCTTTATTAATAATTTTGGCGGGAAAATCACTTGAAGCGTGCATTTATACGACGTATCATATTTACATACATACATACATATGTATTTATATACATATTACACTGTGATGGTCCTAATATATACCCAAATATTTCTAAGAATGGTTTAAAGAATGTTTTTTTAGACGTGTGGTTTGCATCGCGCGCTGCGTCTAATATTCGGTCGACAAAATCACCCAGCAGAGTCGGAAAGAAGACCCAAATGAGTTCATCCATCAATTGGTGCTGTGCTCATTCATTTTATAATAGACTTTGTGGAGGGTTCTTAGCTTACGTTCTTACGTAATCCTACTCGTGCAAGAGTTGAGTACCAACGATCGGTTGTTTCACTTTCACATCAGTCCCCAGATCGCTTTTCTCGCTCTATACAATCAAAATCAAAATGTCATAATTTTTCATAGAAATTTTCAGCGTTTCTCCTCAAGTTGTTCATATTTATGAATTTCAGCCGCGCACATTTTCCATCTTCAAATACGCCTTGCATCTCTATACAACTCTCGATATTATCATTCCGGACCATGATGTTTCTTGTGGCGATGCAGCGACCCCAGAGAGTACGCACATCTGAGACACTTGAGACGTGTTCCAGCTATCACAACATGGTCGATCTGGCTTCGAGTCTTTCGATTCGGTGACAACCAAGTAGTTGGATGGTTTTGTTACTGTGTCGGAACCTGGTATTAAAGACAACCATATATGGGACAATAGTGAAGTCGACTGTTGTGGTAAATATACCTTCGCGCAGGACAGTTTTGATGTTGCTACAAAAATGGTGTCTGCGTCATGCTACAACTACAAATCTAACAGCTAACTGGCACTCCCTTATATATCTACTGTAATAGAAGGCATAAGGATCTATGTTATACCGACCATGAACTTTCAGTGACAGTTGAAGTCGCCACCGAACGACTGTTGGTTTTGAGCAGATTTCATTTAATGTCGGAGTCGTTAACTCACTAATTATGGCAACTGTGACCACTTCGACCGAAATACTCAACGGATAGATTTTTCATGTAAAATGTAATGTGTGATGTAAAAAGTTTTGTACTCGCTCAGTTGAGTATCTTATAAATTCAGCCACTTTACGTTTCCCGATTCTCCGATCAATCCACATTACTACGTAAACCACTTCTTAACTTTTTTTTAATTTGCGATGTTTTCTTAACATCAAAAATAGTGCTGATTCACTCCATGAAATTCACTATTTTTTAACGAATTAGTAACATCAAATTGATAAAATGTAAAATTTGACTAAGCTTTTCTCATGAATTTTTGAATTGAAAACTGAAATTACACATAAATCCTTAAGAAACCCAAATTTTTCGTTATGCTTGGTTTTTACTCCAAAAATCCAAAAATCATTTTGAGGCCGTAAAAGTACCCTAAAAGCTCAAAAAGCTCTGAAGACACTGCTACAACCACAAAGCTTAGAGGTTTCAAAAAAAAAAAGTAAGACTGCAGTAAATTTTATTTTAAATCTTTTTATTTATTTTTTAATTGTATATTTTTTTTTAATTTATTTAATATTTTTTCAAGTTTTTTTTTTTCAATTTGTAAATGTGTAATTTTTTTAAATTGTAATTTTTTAATTTATTTTTAATTTTGTTTTTTATTTTAATTTTTCTTTTAATTGTTATTTTTTTATGTATTTTTTATTTATTTTTTATTTAATTTTTTTATATTTTTTTTTTTATTTTTTTTTTAATTTTTTCTATTTTTTTTTTCAATAACAATTTTATTGAAACATTACTTGAATTTCAATTTCATTCATCCATAATTTATGTTGTATTAAGCAAAGAAACCATCAAAAAAAAAAAACGAAAAAAAATATTAAACAATTGTTGTTGCAATTTTTCGCCGATAGGGCGTCGTATGTGCTTTTTTGGCGGCAGCGGCAGTGGCAGTGGCAGCGGTAGTGCCAGTTCTGGTAGCACAGATGCAGCAGGTAGGGAGATGGATGCCCAAAAATGTGATTTTCGGCTGTTTTTTTTTTTTTTTCAATAAATATTTGTAATTTTTACAAAAAATGCAAGAAAAGTTTGAATTTTAATTGTTGCCTGCGCACATTTCACTGATATGCTGTTGATGTGATGGGTGCATGATTAATAAAAAAGAGCATATATGTATGTAAGTGTGTGACATAACAATAGTCCGTTGTGGGCATTTTAATTGGAAAGGCATATGTACATACTATGTATGTATGCAATGGCGTTACCTCAAATCTATTTAAGTATGTATGTATGTGTGCATAATATATTAACTTGTGCTCGCGTTGTTGTTGATAAGGGTAGCATTTAAAAAAAATTAAAATTATTTATTATAACTTTTTTGTGCATTTTCAAGGTTCAAAAACTAGGAGAGAATTGACAATTATTAACAGTTTTTATGTAATTTATATAAAACATCATATGTCAACATACATTTGTTCAAAATATTTCGATTGTAATATTTATGTTGTTTTTGTAAATTCTTCATTTCAGGCAAAAATCTGTACAACAATGAACACGTAGCAATAAAAATGGAGCCTATGAAGTCGAAGGCTCCACAACTACATTTAGAGTATAGGTTTTATAAACTATTAGGATCACATGGTATGTAATCGTTTTCAATTATATACAAACGCAAAAGAGTAATAATTATTAACTCATAACTCCTGCCCCCAAACCATTCCTTTGAAGAGAAAATAGGAAAAAAATTCTCCACATTTGTGTTGCTCATTTTTTCTTATTAAAATGTTAAAAGAGAAATATACATATGTATATACATGTATGTATGTATATTCACAATAAAAATTCTACTAATTTTGTGAAATAGAAAAAATCAAGATTTTAAATTTAATTTGTTTGCGAATGCCACTTAAAAAAGCTCCGAAAAATACTTTCAATAAACTTTTTTTTTATATTTAGGTATAAGTTTATTAAAAAAACGAAACTGTGAAACACGGAAGTCGTTTATTCTATAATTAATTATAGTTATAATTACAATTCTAAATTTTTTTTTTTAGGTACATTCTCTACCTTTCGAAAACTTAATTTATTATTTGAAAATATTGGGTTTTAAATTTTGAATAACATCGAGTTTTACTATTTTTTTCTAATATTTCCAATGATGTTTGTAGTCTATTAGTTTTTATGTTTTCTTTATTATTGCATTTTTTAATTGTTTAATATATTTAAAAAAATAAATAAATTAAAATATAAAAATTAATTACAATTTCAACAACTCAACTCTTGACTCTTCTATATATAAGATTTTCATTTTAATTTTTTTTACTTTTCTAATCATATTTGCAGTTTGTTTCAGAACTTTTTATCAGCTAGTCAAAGCTTTTAGAAAGTTTAAAAATGCTCCATAAATATATTTATTTTATTTTAATTTTCTTATATAATCATATATTAAAGGTTTCGAAGATTTTTGGCAAAAAATTTAATTAAACAATGCTTCAATAAATAATTGAAAAATATCGGTTGTTTATTATCATTATTATTATATTTTTTTTTTTTTGATTTTTGAAAATATCAGTTTTTTCAGTCTCTTCTTATTTTTCAAAAGTGTTAATTTTCTTTAAATTTTTTAAAGTAACTTAGTATTCTTTAGATTTTTTTATATTTAATCTGTTATAATTTTTTTTATTTATTAATATTATTTAATTAGTTTTTAATTTTTTAGACTTTTTTATTTTTTCTTTACTTATTACCTTTTTAAGAATCGTATTTGAGCGTTTTATTGGAGCTTTTTTGCTAACAAGTCGGTTTTTTAGTATTTTTTTCTAATAATTGTTTTTTTTTTTTAATTTTTTTTCTATTCTATTCTAAAAATTGTTTTATTTTTAATTTTGTTTCTTTTCTAAAAACCTTTTTTATTTTTATTATTTTTTTTCTAAGGATTGTTTTATTTTTAATTTAAAATTTTTCCAATAATTGTTTTATTTTTAATTTAAATTTGTTTTAGTTTATATTTTTTTGGCTTTTAATTTTTATGCATTTTTTATATATTTTCTATTTCAATTTTATTTTAAGTTTTTTATTTTTTCAATTTTACTTTTTTTCTTATTTTATTTAATTTTTTTATTTAACTTTTTTTTTTAATTAAATTTTTTTTATTTTACTTCATTTATTTTACTTAATTTATTTTTTCTTTACTTTATTACCTTTTTAAAATCGTATATATATAAAACGGTCAATTATTGGAGACCTTTTAATTATTTTATTTTTAACTTTTTTCTTTTTTAATAATTATTTTATGTTTAATTTCTTTCTTTTCTAATAACTGTTTTATTTTTATTATTTTTTTTCTAATAATTGTTTTATTTTTGATTATATTTTCTTTATTATTAATTGTTTCATTTTTAATTTTTTTCTTTTCTAATAACTGTTTTATTTTTAATATTTTTTCCTTTCTAATAATTGTTTTATTTTTGATTATTTTTTCTTTTCTATTAATTGTTTTATTTTTAATTGTTTTCTTCTCTAATAACTGTTTTATTTTTAATTTTTTTCCTTTTCCAATAATTGTTTTATTTTTCATTTAAATTTGTTTTAGTGTATAATTTTTTTGGCTTTTAATTTTTATGCATTTTTTATATATTTTCTATTTTTTATTTTGTTTTAAGTTTTTTATTTTTTCAATTTTACTTTTTTTTAATTTTTTTTTTTTACTTCAATCAACTTACTTCATTTATTTTACTTTATTTATCTTTTCTTTACCTATTTTTTTTAGTTTACTATTTGTTAAATTATATTTGAGAGCTTTTCCGGAACTTTTTCTTTACGCAGCCCAAAGCAGCTCGGTCGCTTAAAAACAAATCTGAGCTTATAAAGTTCTGTGAAGCATTCCATGATTAAAAATAAAACCATCTAACTTTATTGTTTCTTGTTTTTTTCTATTTCACTCGTTTTTTCTTAATCACAACTTCCATTATTTCTCCATAACCATTTATTTAAATCCTACCATTATTTTGCTTGTTATAAAATACAAATTTTTTTTGCACCGTTATTGCCTTCGAAATATATATATTTATATTTAGAAAGGCATCTTTAATTAAAAAAAAAAAACTACTTTATTTATTAGTAATTAGAAAAAAAATAGATTTTCTCGAACATATTTCGAAAGTCTCCGGTGCGCAAATGAAATATTTAAATTTTAGGCATACAAAGACCGCACTAAATGTAGTGAATGGTCTACGAAAAAAAAAAATAGTATTAAATTTGTTTCACAATAAAATCATAAATATCCCAACAAAAAAAAAAAAATATTGTAATGAAATATGCCCTGTCGCTTGAAGACTGTAGCGAATACAAAATGCATTTTTTGGAATCGAGAATAATTGTAAACATTTTTTTCATATTTATTGTATATTGCATTTAATGTTGTTGCTGCTGCTGCTCGCCACACGTGCCTTACAACTATCGCTAATAAAAAATTTGTAAACCTTTAAACGCACACAATTCCCTGAACAATAAAAATACGTCCAATTGATGAACCATACACCTGCTGTAATGATGATAATAAATGCCTTGCTGATTTAATGAACTACTCTACTGCTTGTGTGACCTTGGACCACTGCTAAAAAATACAACAATAAACGATCAAAAATCATCGATTCATCCACATGAAAATACAAACTACCAACCATTGGCGTCTGTGTGTGTGTTGCCTTTCAAAAAAATAAAAATTGAAAAATAAAAAACTAAAAAATAAATAATTAAAATAAAACAAACAATCACACAGATAACTGCCCTGAAGGTATACCGCGCGTATATTATCTGGGCACATGTGGTGGCCGTTATAATGCCATGGTATTAGAGTTATTGGGACTATCCTTAGAAGATCTCTTCAATATTTGTTCCCGTAAATTTTCTCTTAAGACTGTACTGATGATATCTAAGCAACTTGTAAGTTTATATTACGTTTTTTTTCTGTTTAAAACTTTCCCCTTTTTTTTTGTATGCTACATTTCGTTTTTTTTTCATTTGCTTTCTTTTACGCTATCTTAGTTTTAAGTAATGTAAAAATGTTTTATGTGTCTAAAATAAGTTTTATGTGCGCTATGCTGCTTTTATGAATATTTGTTTTTAGTCTAGCTGAGTTATGTAAACGAGTAAAATATAGGGATACGCAAAGACCAGAAAAAAATCTGTTTTCAAAATATATTTTTAATTCTTTTCTACGCGGCAAAGGTTTTAAGACGTTTTCCCGAAATCAATATACGCGTATATGTTATCGAAGACAGAAGTGCATCAAGTCCTAAAAATTGAAGAAAATATTTTCAAATTTCTTTACAAATCCAGTTCAAACTCGGTATCTGAGCAGATTAGAACGATTCTTAACAATATTTTTTGACAGAGTAAATTCATAAAAAGGGTGTTTTTAACCTGAGATTTCGAGCAGAAATAAGATGCATATACGCTTAGCTTACTCTTATGGGGATGGTAACTGCCTCATCGGCTCGAATAGATCCCAATTTACAGTCGTCTCGGGCTTATGTGTTTATTTCACATAACCCCTTAAAATAATAACAATAAGGTGTACACTCGTACGATCTTGTGCTCATTATTTCGTTGGCTGTATTACAAGAGCGCCGTATTATTGAAACCAAAGATCGTTCAGATCAATATCCTTCAAGTTAGGCTCGAAAAAGTCATTAATTGGTTTTTTTCAAGTTCTCGGGTGCTGTTATAACTTGCCATATTGTAGATATCATTATTGGGGTAAACTTTATTTATTTTGTTAGGCATTTATTTGAGTTTTGAATTTTAAAGTTTCAAATTACAGCTTAAACCAACTCTTGGTGATAGGAGTATAATATAAATTTCAATATAAAAATCAAAGAAACTATTCCTTTTAAGTTTAAAAATAAGTGGTGCCTCAACAACTTGAAAGGAAACTAATTATTTGCTTAAAAAGAGTTTAAATTGTTAAATTATGTTATGTTGGATAAGTCCTACTGTTATATAAATATATTTATTTTTATTTTTATATATATATTATTTTATATTTTGTAATTTAATTTTTTTTATTTATTTATTTTTTATTTCTGTTTTCTTTTTTTCCTTTTATGTATTTTATTTTATTATATTTTTTTATTACTTTCTTGCCTTACTCCATCGATGTTTTCGCGGTTTAACTCGTTCCTTCTCTTTCCGCAATCATTTCCTTATGTTGTTTGTTTTGTTGTCCTCACATCAAATGTATTGTTTTTCTGTTTTTATGTTCTTGTTAAATGTTAAATCTTGTTATCTCTAAAATAAAATTCATCGGAGTTGTAGACTAGCCATGAGGAGGGGTATATTTTTTAGGTCAGGGTAGCGTCGTTAATAAATTTATTTTCTCGTTACTTACTTTATTTGTTTTCTTATTCATGAGTTATAAACTAATTAAATGTTCAAAAAAAAAAAAAATTTTTTTTTCTCAAACTTAATAAATTCACCTATTGATTTTCCTTTAACCCTAACAGCCAATTTTATTTTTTTTTATGGTAAATTAAATATATTATTACTATTTTACAGTTGAAATTACATTAGAAGTAAGGAATTTGTTGATAAAATTGTAGCTGTTGACCATATAGCATATTAATTGATTGTTAAAGTTTTAATTTTCTTTGAAAACTATAGTTTTAGAAATGGTGTTATATAACCTCTAGCGTAGAATTCGTAAAATATGTTAATTAATTAGTTTTAGTATTGAGTTGTATTAATTGTTATTGCTTTTTTTTTATGAAGTATGTGTAGAGTTTTTAATTTTCATAAACCATTAAAGACTTTTTACTTGCAACACGTGCTGTACATATATAGTTTTTGTGTTTTTTCCCCTCTTTTTGAAATTATGTCTAAACTAACAAAACTTAGAGCGTGACTTAGAAATGTTTACTAAAAACCAAAAAAGGGATCTCCAACTCAAGTCGAAAAAACCCGTCCTTATGTATACACCTATGTACATATATTAAAGTAACAAATTATATTGTGCTCTCCCTCAATTTTGTATTGCATGCCTATTCCTTTTCCACTTCATCATGGTCTATTTGAGCTGATATCCTGAATCTTTGGGCTCTCCAAATATTTAATTTTATCAGGCTGAAACAACAACCCACCAGCCCGTGTTGTACAATATACGCATAAATTTATATAATTGTAAATAATAATCTTAGTCATCCATTATCTATGCATTGGCTTTATTTACCATACTTACAATTATCCGATTTATGTACATACAGTATGTATAACAATTATGCACCGTTTTGCTCGACAAATTTTTTGTCATTTTGTAGGTGATGTACTTATGCCTTTCTCATACAAACTCTTGTTCCTTTTCGATTTTGTTATGATTCAGCAGCGATACACAGAAAGAAATGCGATCTATCCTTCCTTGTCTATTCAACCTTTTTCAAATGGCTTAGCTCCAGGGCGATCGAAAAAGTGCTCGCTTGATTGTCACACTCGACGATTTCCATTATTTTATAGACAATTACTAATTTGCGGTCGCCCCTCGGAAGACAATATCAAACCCTCCGAGTGTATTTCTGACATGAAATAAATCTCCTCATAAAACACCATCAGCCGTTCGGAGGCGGCTTAGTATAGAATGTAGGTCCCTCCATTTGTTGGAAAACATCAAGACACAAATTGGAGGAGGAGCTCGGCCGAAAATCGCTTCAACGGTTACAAATCGCCAATTATATATATCGACAATTGACCTTCAACACCGTGAAGCAACTTTTAGATCAAAACTACCGGTATCAAATCGACCAAAAAAAAAACAGCTGTTGCAAAAATAATTGAGGACTGATTAGAACAAATTTATTTCTTGTAAAAAAAGAAAAAAAAAACTAATTTGCTCCAAAATTTTTTATCTTATTGACAATTAACTAATTAACTGTTTTTTTTTTATTCTCGGATCGAAAACTGAAAAGTAGCTGTGCTCTCTCTCCAGCAGACCTTTCGCTAAATGCCTCTGTAAAGCATATGCAACGCGGTACCGCATTGAAATATGGCTCAAGGGCAGCCGAACCATTCAAGTTCGTCACTCGAGTAATAATACAGAAAGATAAAATTTAAATATGTTCTATTTAAATATGGTATCAAAATCAGTAGAAGACCCACAGACTGACTAATCACGATTTGCATTGTAATTTATTATATTTTCACTCCATCGGGCAGCATTTCTGAGCAATTTTTGGCGATAATTGTGCAATCGTTATCCAAGGTTTAATCATCTAATGAAAGGCATTATTTTAGCAAATAACTCTCCCATAAAACTACAAAGACTAATCGAGTTCGAGGAAAAATTCTCTTTAAAAGTCTACGTAGTGATTGTTTCGCAATGAACGGCCGCAATCCAGTAATATAATATCTTTTCATAGCTCATAGCTCATGCCTTGGTTCATTTCTAATCAATGAACAACGAAAATAGCCGAGTGGTTAGCAGTCCGTACTGCTATTCAGAAGATCAGGGTTCGTGTTCTTGTCCGACCAACTTCCAAATATTGTAGAAAATTTATTTAAATAAAAATTTAAATTAATTTTTCGAATGACAAACTGAGTTGATTTAGCCATGTCCGTCTGTCTATCTGCGCTTCTGGTTGTTTGAACGCAAAATAATGTCTCAGTTTTTTAAAATATTCAAAGGAAATTTGGAATCAGTCAAAATGCATAACTTGGTCTCAAAAACGTTTTGCGATTTTGTTTCGAAATTCTCACAAAAAACAAGACATCTATGAACCTACAATTATAACTTTCGGCACTAACTGATTGTTTAGTTCGGTATCTCGTAATTCTATAACTTATAATCTACAATACATATGTAAATAAAAAGTATTAATACATATTAAACATAATTGTAAAAAATTTTACGTAAAAGTGTATTAATATTTTAAGTCCAAGAAAGTTGAAACAACTATATTTGTTAACGAATACAGCATTTTTTTCATAAAATTTAAACTCATCTTATAGATGACTTACGCCTTTTATTTATTTACGATATATCCTATCCATAAATAAACTCTCTTCTAAAATTTGTTTCGAACTGTACGAAAAGGTTAGAAATCGTCGTGCTAATAAGAACTAGATCTCTCGAAGGGAAGTCCTTCATTATCCAGATTTCTCAAATCCAAAGATTTTCTTTATCGGGATTTCGTTTACATATCCCTTAAGGAGAACAATTGACACATTCCTATCACAGTACCATGTCCTCACTGAACCACCCTGGGGTTTTGATAAATGAACCCAACCTGAAAGTTCTATAAGTATATATTTCTTTATTTTGTTATACTACCTAACTGCCTCTACAGTAATCGTTGTATGGGTTAACTCTAGTCTGCTGACGTGTCTACCAATACGCTAGTAAGTTTTTATGTCATACCATTTAAATTTCAGTAGTCGACATGTTTGGCAGATATTGTGATCTTGTTATATTTATATGTTTGTTAAGGAAGTCAGAGACTCAACTCTGTTTACAACTTGATGAGAGAAAAAGAAGATAAACAAGATTTTGATTTTGAGTAGTTAATTTATTTAAAATAAAGTCCTCCTGATTTCGTTCGAACCTTTGTGGGTCAAATATTGTGACACAATGACAATTTAGAAACTACTTTTTTTACTCGCTTTCGTAGACAGCATGAGTATATGAAAAAAAATTTAAATAATAAAAAACAAAAATAATGGAAAATAAAAATAATGGAAAATAAAAATAATGGAAAATAAAAATAATAGAAAATAAAAGTAATAAAAAATAAAAATAATAAAAAATCAAAATAATAATAAATAATAAGAATACAACATAAATAAAAAATAAGAAAAAATAAAAATTATAAAAACAAAAAAAAAGAAAAAATAAAAATTATAAAAACAAAAAAAAAGAAAAAAAATTATAAGAAATAAAAATAATAAGAAATGAAAATAATAAAAAAGAAAAATAATAAAAAAGAAAAATAATAAAAAAGAAAAATAATAAAAAAGAAAAATAATAAAAAAGAAAAATAATAAAAAAAGAAAAATAATAAAAAATGAAAATAATAATAAATAATAACAATACAACATAAATAAAAAATAAAAATTATAAAAACAAAAAAAAAAGATAAAATAAAATAATAAAAATGAAAAATAATAAAAAATAAAAATAATAAAAAATAAAAAATAAAAATAATAAAAAATAAAAATAATAAATAATAAAAATAATAAGAAAAAAAAAATAATAAGAAAAAAAATAATAAAAAAGAAAAATAATAAAAAATAAAAATTTTAAAAAATAAAAATAAAAAAAGTAAAAATAATAAAAAAAAAATAAAAAATAAAAAGTGAAAATAATAAAAAATAAATTTAATAACAGATAAAAATTATAAAAAAAAAAATAAAAATAAAATTAACAAAAAATAAAAATAATAATAGCTGTAGCGTTAATATTTTTCAAAAACTAAAAGTAAAATAATTAGTTTGTATTGTATTATTATTAAATTAATATGTAAGTCGTAAGTCCTATAGTTTAATGGAAGCAGACACTTTTCGAAAAATGCTTCGAGAATTTCTATTTTTTTTTAAATATTTTTTTTTTGTGTGATTCACATATTTAATTATACTGCAAGGTGCATTTTTGAATAACCGATAAAATAATAAATGATAAAATGTAAAATAGCTAAATATATTTATATATAAAGATGAGAATATCACGCAACAAATTAACAAGGCGTAATTTTCATTGTTTTTATTTTTTGCTTGCTGCCTTTAATTTCTCTACTACCACTACGTCATGCATTTGAAACTGTTGAAAAAAAAAGACAAAAACCTATTGTACTAACAACTGAAACCTTTTAGCGCATAAATTTTCCAAAATACAATAATTACACCCTTTAAACAATTGGTTGCCAAACTAAGTAACTGGTACTAATCTTTTTTTTTTACAATATATGCACAACTCAATGCCAGAAATTCCATTTAAAAACAATAAAAACAAAATAAGAATTACAACGAGAATGAATTAAATGAAAAATCCTCAATTTACATGGAGCAGTAGAAAGCTATTAAATAAATCTTCAAAATTTATTATAAGAAAAAAAAGCGAAATAGGTTGTCTTTAAATAATGGTTTTTAATTTTTTTTAATTTGGTTTTTCGAAACTTATTTTTCACTCCTTTTTTATTATTTTTTGTAATCAAAATAACCATCTCCCATGTAAATGGCACTCGATTTTTACATTGCCAAAAAAATAAATAAAATAAATAAATAAAAGAAAACAAAAAACAAACAGACTCCCTTAAAAATTTTATACATATTTTTTTGTTTTTGAATTTGTTGTGTTATCTTTTGACTATAAGAAAGTTTAAAGTGTGCATTTCTCTTGAATTGTTATTATTATAGCAGAGGGTGTACCCGAAGTATATTACTTCGGGCCATGCGGCAAGTACAATGCACTTGTTATGGAATTGCTCGGTCCATCACTTGAAGATTTATTTGATATATGCGGCAGGCGATTCACTTTGAAGACAGTACTACTGATAGCTATACAATTAGTAAGTACACACATTATAATAGAAGAAAAATAAAATAAAAATTAAAGTAAAGCATTGAAATAACAAAAAAAAAAAACAAAAATAAAATAATCTCTTTAACAAAGCCCCATTTTTTAGTATGATGCTAGATATAAAATTAGGCCAGCAATATGTTTTTTTTTTTTTGCAAATTACTTTATAAAGTTTTTAAACAAATTATAATAACCCGGTTGTTAATGGTTTCACTGCGCTAATATAAATAATACATTTTATATATATTACTTCAAATCGGAAATACCGCCCACCACCAGCACTCTACATATACTATGCTACCAAAGACACAAAATTCACTACTTATTTACCTTTAACCTTTGCCCTCTATTTTTATTTATTTATTATAACATTTAGTTCTCATAATCATACTGTTGTCAATATGCGTAGGATGTTTTGTTTTGCAATTACTAACTAGCTGGCATGCCTCTGAACTTGTTAATTAAAGCACACTTTTAGGCGCTGACCCATTTGAACCACTGCAAACCTTTTCTTTTATGCTTCACATTCTTACGCTCGAGCTTTTTTTTTTTTTTTTTTTTTTTTTTTNTTATATTAACTTTTTCTTTAAAATTTTTTTTTTTTTTTTTTTTGGAGAGAAAATGCGGTATTTGCGGTTGCATGCGATACTTAGTTGAGGCAGTTTTGCTGTTGGGTGATGGTTTAGTTTAGTACTTTTTACTAGTGTAAATTTTGATATTGTCTAAAGTGATCAAAAATATTAAGTGGTTGTAAAAAAATTGCGTATAGTTTAAAAATGTGTGTGTGTGTTTTTTTTTTTAATAATCACTATAAAAGAATAGCAAATATAAAATGTAAAATATTTAAAATAAACATACGAGCACATCATTCCAAACGAAGTGTAATACATAGTTTTAGAAAAAAATATTATATACATATGTATATCATTAAAGAATTACACTAAAATCTTTTTTTGTTGCATTAAAAATAGTTGTTTCTTAGATACGCGAGTTCGTCCACTTTTGCATGCTTACTTAGTGTAGTACAGTTAACTTTGGATTCTTTTATTTTTTTAATTGCAAATTACATAACTTGGCTGTTCAATAGCGTATTTCATATTTTAATTTAAATCCTATTTTTTTAATTATTAAAATCTGACAATTTTATACAAAAAAGGCTAAATTATGTTATTTTCCCCTTCCTGATATATATTATTTTTTAATTTTTCATTAATATTAAATTTCACAAAAAGCTTCTTGGATTTTTTTAAATTATACATAATTGATATTTGTACTTACTTTTTTACTCTTTTATATATTTTATTTATGTATTTTTATTTTTTAAGTATGTATTTTATTTATATTTTAATTTCTTTTTCTCATTCCTTTTTTCTTTATTTATATTTTGTTTCTTTTTAATTGCTTTTATTTTATTTTTTTAAGTTAATTTTAATGCTATATTTTTAAATTATTTTTTTTCCAAATATTTTTTTAATTTAAATTCTTTAGTTATTTTTGTATTTTTTAAATGCGTTTGTTATATTTTTTTAATTTTGTTTTATATTACTCATAAATTTTTTTTTAAATTTTTTTAAAATTTTTTTAAATTTTTTAAATTTTTTTTTAATTTTTAAAAATTTTTTTTTTAATTTTTTTTTTTTTGTTATACTTTTTTATGTATTATTTTATACTATTTATTTTGGTTTTGAATACCTATTTTTAGTTCTTTATTTTGTAGTATTACTTATTTTTTAACTACAATATTTTTTTATTTATTTTTTTTTCATTTATTTGTTTATTTGTTTTTTAATTTGTTTTCAATTAATTTTTGATATCTTGTATTTTAGTTCTATTATTTATGAATTTTTTTCATATTTTCAATTTTTTGTTTGCTCTTTTATCTTAATTTCATCGTGTAATTTTTAAAGTATAATTTTAATATTGTTGTTTTATTCATTTTATATCTTTTCTAATTTTGTTTTAAATTAATTTTATTTATTTTGTCAATTTACTTTTTCAGGTTTTTTATTTACTTATTTTATTAAGTATTTTTAATTTTTTTATTTTATTTTATTTGTTTATCTAGTTTTAGTTTTTTACTTAATTTATTTACTTTGCTTATTTCTTTTGTTATTTTCCTTATTTTATTTATTTATGTTAGTTTATTTGCTGATTTTTAATTTTATTTTTTTTCTTTCAATTGTTTTATCTAATTATTTCTTAACTCGTTTTTATTTTACTTGTCTATTGTTTTAGTTTTTTAATTAATTATATATTTCTTAAGTAATTTTTTAGTTACCTTTTTGGTTTGAATTAAATTTTTTTACTTTCTATCTAGTAATTTGTTAATTTCTTTATTATTTTACTTATTTTTTTTTAAATAATTATTTTATTTATTTTTTAATTTTTTATTTCATATTTTTCCTCTTTTGTTATTTTATTGCTTAACTTTTATTTTTCATATTACTTATTTTTGCAAATTTAAATATTATTTAAGTAGTTTTTTTTTTAATTTCTGCTGCTCCGGTTTATTCATTTTTTTTTATAAAATTTTAATTTTTTTACATAGTTTTATTTTTTTTAAACTTTAATTTTCTATATATTTTTAATTTTTATTAATATATAATTTAAATTTAAAATTGAATTTCTTTGTTTTTTCTTAAATTTATTTTAATGGCTTTTGATCCTAAATGTATTCTTCGATTCGTGTGCACCTTGTTATATTTTTACGGAGTTCGTCTTCATGCGACCGATGTAAGCTCGTCGCTTTTATTTTCGCACTACAAAACGAAATGAAAATTGAAATGAAGCAAATACATTTGTCATTTTAAGTAATAATAAGAATATTTTATTCACTCAAATAATTATTTTATTCTTCATAAGCTCTGCATAAGCGCTTGTTTAGACACTGAACAAATCATCAACGCATATTTTGTTTATTTTTTTTTGATTCATTTAAATTTATATACATAATTTCTTTTTTGACTCTCATCCAGTATTTTTTGCATTTCTTGAAATTCTCCTGCAAAATAAAAAACGAATTATAGCATACATAGCGTACATTAAATTTATTTTATACATTTATTTACTTGTTTTTTATTTTTTAATTTAATTTATTTTATTTTTTATTTTTTCAAATAAAGCATGTTTTGTTTTTGTTAAAAAAAAAATGTATATATAAACCACTAATATTCTGCATTCTCTCTTCTTCTTGTCACCATAAAATTCGCCACACTACAACGTCACAACTAAAACCAGCTCCACCGGATCGAATATGTTCATAGTCGGCACTTAATTTATAGAGATGTTAAACCTGAGAATTTTCTTATAGGCAGAACATCGACGAGGCGAGAAAAAATTATACATATAATTGGTGAGTATACAGGCGAAAAGAAGTATAAGTATTCGTTAGCTGAGTTCTTGAAAACTTGAAATAGACATAATATTCAGCAGATTGTTTCGAAATTTTTTCTATTTGTATATGATAATAAATATGATTTGGAAAAAATTCCATAAATTCAAAAATAAAGAAAATATAAAGAAGTTTAAAATAGAAGCTTTTAATTGCATACTTTAAGGCGTTGTAAGACCACTTGACACATTGGTAATATTTTCAAGTTACTTGAGAAATATCTTGGATTTGCTTGCAATTATTTGTAATAATTTCAAAATAGCTCGTGAGAAATGGTATAAGCAATTGTAAATAAATTCCTAAAAAAAAAACAATTCGTAATTAAAGAGAGTCATTTTATGACGAAACTAATTTTTTCTTATAAAAAATAGAGGCATTAAGTAAATGGAAAAGTTTTCAGAAATTTTTTGAATTTTAGGAGATACATATGTACATAATCTAATACTAATCACATTTATACACATTTTTTCTCTCCATCCATCAACAGATTTCGGTTTGGCCAAAGAATACATTGATTTAGATACAAATAGGCATATACCATATCGGGAGCATAAATCTCTCACCGGCACCGCACGTTATATGTCAATAAACACACATATGGGTAGAGAGCAATCAAGGCGCGATGATTTAGAAGCATTAGGGCATATGTTCATGTATTTCTTAAGAGGTTCACTGCCGTGGCAAGGCCTTAAGGCTGATACACTTAAAGAACGATATCAAAAAATTGGTGATACAAAACGTGCAACACCCATTGAGGTAAGAGGATATTCTAAAGAAATCAAAAATTTACAAATTGTATAAAAAATATTAATAATATCTATTCCACTAAACACACAGGTGCTTTGCGATGGACATCCCGAAGAATTTGCAACTTACTTGCGTTATGTGCGGCGATTAGATTTTTTTGAAACGCCCGATTATGAGTTTCTGCGAAGACTGTTTCAAGACTTATTCGATCGTAAGGGCTATGTGGATGATGGAGAATTCGACTGGACAGGGAAGACAATGGTATATACAATTTTTTTTTATTTCATATAATTTACACATAATATTACTATGGCTTACTACTATATGCATTTTCCTTTAGAGAATTATGTGTTTATATAATTATAATTTTTTTTTTTAACTGTACACAAAGTCACATACAGTTAGTTATATTTATTATTATAGAAAATGGGCGGGTTAAACTATAAATTGTTTCATAATGTGAAATATACGTGATACATAAAAAATACATAGTGAGTGCATGCGTGTGCGTGAAATTAATGCATTTTGTTTTAGGTGAAAGTAGCTGAATATAATTTTCACTTAGTAATTTTATTAGAATATTTCAAATTTTCTATTCTATTTTATGTCTATTTTTTAATGCACAATAAAATGTTTTAATTTTTTATTTAATTTCAATTTTTTTGAATCTCTTTTTTTCTATGTTTAAAATTTTCATTTATTTTTATAGTTTGTATTTATTGTTTTTTTCTTCCTTTTTATATTTGTATTCGTTAGAATAATTTAAATTATTATATGCTTAACTATTTTATTTTTTAGTTCTTTATCTATTTTTTTACCTTTGTTTATATTTTTGTGTTTCTTTTCCTTATATTTTATATATTATTGTATTTTTTTCATAAATTTAAATTTCATTTCTTTTTTTTTATTTCTTTATTCGTTTGAATATTAAAAATATTCAACATTTATATATTTTTTTTTTGTTTTTTTATTATATTTTTTTTTGTTTTTTTAATCCTTTTTTAATACTTTTTACCATTTTTTATTTGTGCTAATTTTTGTAATATTTAACTATTCCTTATTTATTTTTTTATTCGTTTGATAATTTGAAAATTTTATATGACTTTTTGTTACTTTTTTATTGTTTTATTTATAATTTTTATTTTGTTTTATTTCTAGTTTTTATATGATTTTTTAGTTTTTTATGTATCTTTTATTTTTATTTTATTTATTAAATTTATTTTTATGTTTTTAATTTTTTTTTTTTAAATTTTTATGTAATAATTTTGTTATTATATTTATTTTTTATTTATTTTTATTTTTAATTTTTTTCATTAGAAATTTTGTATATATTATTACATTTTTTTTTAAATTATTTTTAATTTTATATATTAATTTTTTATGTATTTTTATTTTTTTTTTAATGATTTTATTTTATATAATTTTTTTTCTACCAAAAAATTTTTTTATTTCATATAAATTATATATTTTATATAAATAATTTATTTTATATAAAATACTTATTTTATATAATTTTATATACTTTTTTAATTTTTATATAATTTTATATTTCATGTACTTTTTTATTATATTTATTATTATCTTTTTTTGTTTTGGTTGTTTGCATTTTTAATTCTAAAGTAAACTGAATGTCAATTATTTTGAAAGAGATTTACTAAAATTTTCTTACACAGTTGGAGGTTTTGTTTCCAAGCATTTGTTTTTTGTCCTAAATGAATAATATTTTTCTCTTTTCACGAATCATATTAATTTGCACTCACAATCAAATTTCTTGTCGCACCAACTCAAAACCAAATAAATATGCAAAAATGAATCCATGGCTAACTTAAATAACCCCCAAAAAAAAGGGCTCAAGCACAAAAAAGTTGATAGATAAATTTTAAAAAATTTAAACAGCAAAAAAAAGCAAGTAAAAGCTCTTTGAAAGAAAATAGCAATTAGTTGCAGTCAACATTTGTTCGGTTATTTCACTCCAGAGTGAAATCAAGACATGAAATTTATGGAATGCACAAATCAATTGCATTGCGTTACAAATCGCTAGCGCAATATGCATTTTAATCAATGGCAAGAGAATAAAACTACAAGTATTATTATCACAATCAATAGTCTACTTTCTTCCTGCTTGTTGATGACATTCATTGTGTATACATACGTACGTTTGCGAGATATAACTGCCATAGTAGTCATGTCAATGGGATTTAGCAAAGCAAAATGGAGAAATTTTCACACAAAAATTTAAAAAAAAAAATATTAATGTGAAAGCGAAATTGTCCACTCTGCAAAAATAAAAAGAAATAATAAGAACATATCTCTGTCCCTACATGTGTGTTTCAGAAGCCTACTCCAATGTAAAATGAAATCAAGATGGAAAACACCTGAAGTATTAACTGTATATTTTCCAAACCACTCTTGTCATTGATTGAAACTTGAAAGAAATTTATTCCAAAGCAAACTTTGTAATGAATATAATTACTATTAATTACCATATCTATTTGTATAGAATTATTCATTTTACTTCATTAAATTTTTATTTACCGCAAAACGACGTAAAATATAATTAATTATATACATACATAGCAGGATTATTGAAAACAATAAAAAAAAATCAATTCAAATAGGACAGCAAACTTCAGAGCATTGGTTTGGAAGGATATAGTGCCTAAAATATTTATATTTTGAACTTGAAGTGGGAAAAGCGGGAAATGCACTATTAGAAGTGCATGGGAGTTGTAAGGAATTATTTTTTAATTTTTGTGCATTTTTCTACAAAGAAAAAAAAAAAAATAAAAATTGCGCAGCATATAATATGAGTTATAGCTGCCTCGAAACATAATTATGATAATTTTAACGAACAAGCAAAGGCGTCTGCGTTTTGAAAATGATATTACATTCTTAATTTATAAATGTATTTGGTAAAACTATAAATATTTGTTAATATGTTTTAATTTGTGAATGTATTCAAATTTTATTTTCGCCTCTAGTTTTCTCTAATTATTTGAATTTACTATAAATAATTGTTAATTGTTTTATTTTTTTTACAATTTATACGCAAATATATTCACATTTTTGATTTATTTTTTGCAATTTTTCGAAAGTGTTTCAAACGAATTTTTGTAAATTTCATTAAATACCTTTTGTATTTTTTTGCATGCTTAACTTTTGTAATTATTAATTTTACTTAAAAAAAAATTACTAAAAGACCAAGGAACAACTCGAACAAATGAAGGTTATCAAAAATGCGCCACCTTCACATTTAGCCAAAAATAAATCTGATAAGGTATAGATTTGATTTTTTGATTGTATTATTTACATATATATTGTGTTACTTTTTGCTAATAGAAAATTTGTAATTTTTAGTTTATCGCTAAATGCATTTCACATTGACACATACCCCATGATGTACAAAAGTAGTTAATACACAAAAAAAAAAAACAAAAAAAAAAATTATAATAATAAAAATTTAGTAAACTCCATATGCATTTTGGTACACGCAAAACATTATGAAAGTTAATCGCTTGAAAATATCGAAAAACATATTTATAAAATAAAAATTGCAGCAACTCCTTTTCCTTTAGAACGAGAATTCTATGCATAAAGTATTCGGTTTTAAGATTTTGATTTCTTGTAATTGTATTTATTGAAGCATTTTTTATTCAATTTAAATTTTTAATTTGTTTATAAACTTTTTTCACGGCGCTTCGGCTGTTTCTTTGATGAGAATAGTAAACACTGTTAGTATTTAAAAAATAATAGAGATGAAATTTTAGCTAAATGTAAATTATTCTGAAAAATATGCAACTAAAAACTTGTAAAAGATATTACAATTTTGTAATTGCGTGACCTTTAGGGTGAGCCAAAAACTAATTTCCTTTAAGGATTAAAATAAACCTTTGCTTTACTGAAAAAGCAATCCCTGCAAGCCAGTATTTTTTGCTGAGCTTTAAAAGTTGTCGTTGAGCATTCAAAGGTTGCCATATACGGGTTTTCCATTAAGAGAGATATACAATCATCGGTTGCTTATTTCAATGTAAAGAGTAAGATATGCCAATAAATAACAATATCAGCCAAATGGCTCCCACGGCTACGCTTACAGGACTATCCTATTTTATTAAATTTTTCACTAACTCGAAAATCGCCCGCTGCATGCCCATCTTCGTGGTCTTAAATCAACGTCGGCAAGTTGGCGTAGGCCTTATCCTTCACATGGTCCCCAAAAAAGAAGTCGCAAGGCGTTAATTTACTCCGAGAGATAACACGATTGGGAAGATCGATGGTTTCGTTGCTTGTGTGGTACGTTACGCCGTCATGTTGAACATAAACGTTGTCCAGCTCAATAATCCAATTTCGGCCATAAAAATCATCAATCATCTCTCGATAGTGCAATCCATTCAACATAACTGTTGCTTCTGCCTAATTTTTGTAAAAGTAAAGTCCAATAACCCTACCATCGGAACATAAACCGCAAAAAAAAGTTACACATTGAGGATGGAGAGGCATTTCAATAATAAATTTTTGTGGTTTCCGAGCTTCAGATTCAACAGTTTTGTTTATTGACGTAGTCACCGCGGTGGAAATGGGCCGCAACAGTGAAAATGATTTTTCTATGAAATTTTAATAATTTCAATGCCTACCTTTTTTATACTGGCGTAGTTTTTACTTGTTAAATATAAAAAATTACAGTTTCAAAAGTGATATTTTCCGGAATATTGAAAACTTGAATGCTCACCGATGCCTTTTAAAATGGATTAAAATATTTTGGCTTGCAAGGACAATGAATACACAGTAACCCATAAATGAATAGACAGTAACCCATAAATGTAAACACCTTTGTTGCATCGCACAAAAATCAAATGAAAGAACACTAAAACTTCAATTTTTCAAACTACCTATTTTTGGCCATAAACCAACCAGATCATTGAACACATCTCAAAAGGCTACAAAAAACTTTCCTTATTTGGGAAAAAATACCGTCAGTCATTTATGCCATTCTTATCCCTTGGAACAGCATCAACTGTTTTTACGCCTCTCGAATATTTGATATTATTTTTATTTATTGTTCGATATGTTACTTAAATAATTAAATAATATTATTATGTACGCTTATTTATTTATTGTATATAAATGAATGCTTGTAAGGTAGTAAACAGGTGTATAATGCGTATGTGTATGTAATAAAGTGTGTGTATAGTTTTAACTCAAAATATGTATACAGATAAACTTCTCAAAAATGTATAGCAAATGTTGTATGCAATATATATACATATGTATATGAAGAAAAAAATATCATATTATTATTATTTATTAAATGTTAAGAAATTTTAAAAATTAGAAAATAATTTTGAATAATTAAAATTAATCGGTCGTAACCTGCTTCAACGACTAGAAAGCGTAAATATACTAGATATTATATAGTATATGTGTATGTATATGAGAGAATAACTTTCCACATTCTGCTGTGGTCAGTTCTCTGTTTAGTATATACTTTAGTATTACTGAGAAGTTTGTCTGTATATATATGTAATTTTAACAATTTACTTTTTAAACAAAACTTCTAATTTAAAACCAACTAATATATATATATATATATTTATCTTTGTTTTGTTGCATTTCTTTATTTCATACAAATCATAAACAAAAAAAAAAAAAAAATTAAAAACAAATCGTTTGTTATGCTGCAAATTCATCGAACTATGTATACCTACCACTACCACCACAACCAACTACTAACCACCACCAACACCAATGAACGAATATTTAATACGAATAAAAAAATAAAAAAAATAAAATGAAAATCAAAAACTTTGCCGATCACGTATTGACAACAACAAAAACAACAACAATCAACTAAAATGCAACTATAAAAAATGTATTTTGCACCAACTTGTTTAATTGAAAATTGGCAAAAAAATGAAAAAAAAAAAAAAAAAATTAAAATTGTCTAACAAATGCAACGTAAAAACAAAAATTAAAAAAAAAAAAAAAATATATTCACTGCCTGCAAAATTGAAATACCATGTTCTCTATCTATGTGTATCTGTGTGTGTTGTATGTTGCAAATTAACGAAAATGTATTTAGTCAACGCCTGTCGGATCTCTGCAAACTGGCCATGAAGTCATCATTTCACCAAATAAAGATCGTCATAATGTAACAGCTAAGGTAAGCGCAAATGTTTATCAATTTATACCTACTTACATATTGTATGTGTAGTATGTATATGATTCTTACACATTTTATTGATAATAATGTAATTTGCTTTACTAATATTAAATTTGAAGTGAAGAAAGCAATAAATACTAAATAAACGTAGTTATCTTTTACATTTACATACATATATACATATAGCATACGGTAAACAAAGCCATACATACCTACTTACATATATATACGCTCATTGTCTGTCATACCGTATATACTAAATGCATAAAATATTTAAATATCTACATACCATATATACCAGAAATGAATTTTAGTTATACTAGTAATTCTTATATTTATTTCATATATACTACATAGAGTACATATGTATATTGTTTTTTGGGTTAGTTAGAAAACATTTGTTTTTTTTTATCAATGAAATAATTTCGTATATTTAAAAGTATGTATTGTTTAAAAAAAAAGTATAATATCTTCACATATTATATTTTATACTCTTGCACTGTACACTGGCGGCGTTCGAATTATACTCCTTTTTAATTTACCGCTGTTATACTGCGCTTAAAAAAACAAAAAAAAAAACAAACAAAAAAAAATATATATTTTACTTTTACACTTGGATATGTAAAATTGTTTATAGGATATTTCATATTTTGATTATGAGGATGACGATGACGGTGGTGATGAGGAATATTTAATACTCGAGGTTAGAGCTTTACTCAGTACTACATTCGTGCATATCTGGTAGTTTGGCTAAAGTAAAAAACCAGAAAAAGCGTTAAAAGAAAAATTATTGCTAGCTTAGGTCATATTTTCCGAAAGCGACGATTTCGATCTATTCAAATTCTACTACAACACAACAGCATTTATTAATTAAAAAAATACGTAAATCTGCTAAAAAAAAAAATAGTATTGATTAGAAAAGTATGCTATTTGCTGCTTATTAATATTATAAATTTTTCACTAGATTTTAATAACATTGAAAGAAAAATAGTGACAGCACAGAAGTGCAGTTCTTTGTTTTGACTTAACTAATTATATATTTAAATATTTGCATATATTAAGTAATTTCATACTGCTAGTGTCTTGTTTGATTTTTTAGTATGCATTTTTTTAATCAACACATATTTATACACTTTTTAAAGTATTAATAAAATTACTAACAAATTTTTAAGTTAATTCTGAAGACAACTGACCCTAAGGTTGTTGGCTTAAAAACTGGTTTTTGGTAATAATTAATTAATGTAAAAAACAGTAATTTTTCATGCCAAACTCGTTATAAAAAATTTAATTCCTACAATATGTAATAAGTAAATGTTGTTTTAATTAAAGGTTGTATATTCCCTTGTGATTCTTAACAAACTTGATTTTTAAATATTTTTAAATGAAACGGCAGCGTGCGCCTAAAAGTATGCCAAATATATTCGAGATGTTTAGTTTTTATTTTGAATCACAAATACACTCAACCTCAAATGTAAGGCGGCATGTGTTAAATATATAAATTAATTTAAAATTTTGTTCTCAAAAATATTCTTAAACCCCTTGATTGGTTACTAATCATACATTATCACACACATATTTTCACAAAAACTGATTTAACACATTCCTTCGCCGTCGCCGCTTAATTATATGCACCTAAAATCATTTGTTTGTCAAATTTGTCTTCAGTTGCCAGCTTTGTATGTTTATAAAATGTCAAGTTTCATGCAGAAACGCAATAAATGCTTACGAATTTTTTTTAATTTAATTAAAATAAAAAATTAAAATAAAAAACAAAAATTACAAAAAAAAAACACAGAAAACAGGGAACCTAATAAAATTAGAAATAAAGAGAGAAAAAAAAAAAAAAAAAAANATAAAAAATTGAATAAAAATAAAAAATTGAATAAAAATAAAAAATAAAAAAATTAAAAACTAAAAAAATTAAAAAATTAAAAAACTAATAAAATTAAAAAAATAAAAAAAAAATAAAAAATAACAACTATTGACAAAAAGAACAAAAAATAAAAAAAATATAAAAATTAAAAAATGAAATGTATAAACAATGAAAAAGAATTAAAAAAATTAAAAAAGAATTAAAAAATTAAAAAAGAATTAAAAAATTAAAAAAGAACTAAAAAATAAAAAAAAATAAAAAAAAAAATAAAAAATAAAAAAAGTTAAAAATATAAAAATAGTAAAAAAAACTAAAAAAATTAAAAAAATTACAAAAATTACAAAATTAAAAAAAAAAAAATTAAAAATGAAAAAATTGAAAAAAAAAATAAAAAAAATAAAAAATGAAAAACTAAAAAAAAATAAAGAAATACAAAATTAAAAATAATTAAAACTTAAGGAAAAAAATTTAAAAAAACATAAAAACTCAATAAACATCATCTACAATAAACCGTAATATAAAACAAAAAAATTATATAAAACAAAAATTAAAAAGAGCAACTAATATATGTAAAGGTAAACTAATTTACAAATAATAAAAATAAACGAAAAAAAAATTAAATAAAATAAAAAAATAAAAATAAAAATAAAAAAAAATTAAAGTAAATAAAAAAAATAAAAATAAAAAAAATAAACGAAAAGAAAATAATATTAAAATAATAAAAATTATAGAAAAAAAAATTAAATTAAATAAATTAAAAAAATAAAAATAAAAATAAAAAATACAATAATAAATTAAAGTTAAGAAGTAATAAAAAATGAATAAAAAACAAAAAAAAAATAATTATTGCGTTTTGATATGTTTCTGCGCAAATAAGCTTTCGTCTTGTTCATCTGTTCTGCCACCCCCTTTAGTTTCCTTGTACGTTTCATTTCGCGCTATATACCAACATTTCCGTTATATTGCAATTTCCTTGTCATTTACCGCTAAATTTCCAAACACTTCCGTTGCACTGCTTTTTCCTCTTAACTTGTTACACAATCCCATTTACATTTGGCCGTAGCTAGGTAGCTCAGTCAATTCACGTAAATATGTATGCACTCATATAACCACATACAAATGCACCTTCGTAAATAAACACATTCAGACATATGTACATAGGTCAATTTGTAAATATACATACGACTGTAAAAATAATGCATTTGAGCGAAAAGTAGACGAAAGTTTTCAAAAATTAGTTAGTTAATGCTTTAAATTTGGTAAACAGCAATTATAAAAAAATCTATAATATATATTTTTTTTTGCAAAGTTTAAAATACCTGAAACTAAACAAATTTTTTCTGCAACCCATTTTTTGCTCCAAAAAAAAAAAAAAAAAAAATTGGAAAAATTAAAAAATTATAATCAATCAAATCATCGGCCAAAATAACAACAACATCCACAACTAATGCAATTCCAAAAACTTATGCTCGTTGAATAACATTATCAACAACAACAACAAACGCTTGCCAACTCTATGCCTTAAATATTGTTCATCATAACACAAAAAAAAATGCTTTCGCTGCCTACAATCACGTACCAATTTGCCACTAATCAACAACAAAAACGTGTATTCTCTATGTGTTCTGACTTTTCAACCAACCAACCAACCAATGACCAACATCTCGCAATTCTATGACAACATCGACGACATTGTTAATACTACCGCTGCAACTACTTCAAAATCGTCGTGTATTTGTGCATTTACATGTGTGCGCTGCTGCATGTGCACTTCGGCTCTTAACCAATATACCGCTACTTCAATGTTCGGCAACATGGATTGACCTAATTTTTCCTACAAAAAAAAAAAAAAAAAAAAAAAAAATCACATCGAATTGTGCTGACATTTTGCTCATTTTCTTGCTGCCGCCGCGGCGCTGCTCTGCTCCTGTGGTGGTTGGTTTTGTGTTGTTGCCGCCGCTGCTGCTGCTGTAACTTTGTATTTTCATTATTGTTGTTGCCTCGTCGTGAAATGTGCACAGACAAATGCCAAAGGAGGTGTTGCTGCGTGGCCGGATGTGCCAAAACCGGGCGCCACACTTGGCAATCTAACACCAGCCGATCGGCATGGCTCAGTGCAGGTAAGTTTCATTATAGCTCTACCTACACCCACCCAATACCATCCTCTTGCTCCTAATACTACTACTACTACAACTAATCAACAATGTGAAAAAAATATGTTATGAAAATTTACAAAAAAAAAAACCACCTCACCTCATACATACACAGTCATTTATTAAAAAAATTATCGACACACACACATACAAACACATACGCGCATCCTCTGCTTTCTTATTTGTGCTAATTTAATATATGTACGTACATCTATGCATATTTTGTATGCATATACATATGTATGTACATGCATGCATATATATATATATATATATATATATATGTATGTATGTATATATATATATACATACAACATCACTTGTTTGCTCTTTGTAATTAACAGAATTTTGCAATTTTCCCCCAACATATATACGTACACCTTCTGTTGCAGAAATCACTTAGTTTTACATACGTACATACATATAGATGTACGTGTATATTATATGTATTACAACGAATTTATCGTCCTTAACTACCAAATTGCTTGCCCTTTTTTGCATTTCATAATACACTTTTGTAACTAAATTTTCGAACTGAATTGTGAATTGTATGTATGTATGTATGTGTGTGTGTGTTTTGCATTATATTATGTTTATTAATTTATTATTTTTTATTTTATTTTTTGTGACCTGTGAATGCATACTAACATCATTGAATGCGTTTTAGGCTTGATAATATAATAAATTATGAAAATATTTTCTGTGAATTTATTTATTTATTTTTTTTTTTTGCATAAAAGATTTTTGCTTTATAGTTAGATCCTTTATGAATATATTTAGCTCGTATATATTAGATTAAGATGAATGAGCTAGCTTTGCCAGAAATATTTTGAAATTTACCTTAATGCTACAAAAAATTATTATTAAATGACTAAAAATGGTTGTTCCATACGGAGAAATCAGAAAAAAGGGCAGAATTAAATTAAATAGAATTCGATTTGATCAAACAAACTTAATTCTGCAGGCCACCAGCTACCAGCGACTTTCAGCGATCTCCACAAAATTAAAATTTTGGGTTTTTACGGATTTTTATTTTTTATTTTTCAAACCTTTTAACAACAGTTTTTGAGTTGTAATAAAATAAATATTTATAAATAAATATTACAACATATGAACTCTTATGATAAACGCTATGAAAAAGAAAGAAAAGCTTGCCACATATTTGCCAGTCCAAAGAGATTTCTATGCTTCAACTTTCAAGGTCTCGAAAAACAAAATTTTTTTCCACGCATTGATATAGACATACTCGTAGAGCCATCTTTGTATGATCTATATATTATTCCAAGCTTACTTCCCGGATGAAAAAGTATTCGCATCGTTAATTTAGGTCTAAGTCTATCCCTGTATTGTATTTTATGTAAATTCAACGATAAAAGGGTAGTGATGTGTAGCTTGACGGATGAACTACGGAAATGTTGCTTTTCCATCTCTCATTATCGACCTTATTTTGGTTTGACCCTTTCCGTCTACGGACTCGCTCTTGACCTTCTGCAGCCAACTTTTGAGCACGGTCCGCATTAATTTATATCACTAACAGACCTATTCTCACTATTACCGGTAAAGTAAATTTTGTTACTTTTCTTTAACAACCGAAATTGAATTTGGTATTCTGGCGAACTGGTTACAATGTTTGGAAAAAATTTGGCAGCACTGCTTTTTTCGTCCATGTCAAATTACATTTGCCAGTTGATAAAGTAAAAAGAAAAATATACACATCGCAATGGAAGACGGTGCACAAAAAAATTTAAAAGTTTTATTAATTTGCTTATTAAATGATAAATATTTTGATTATTAAATTTGAACCTATTTTGGAAAATATGCCTGTACGATACAACAAAAAAAGCTAAATGAAAACATTATCTTATAAATAAAAGGACTATTTAAAATACGGCTTTTTGCACTTTTTTCTTCATCTTCAATGAATACCAGGCCTAAAATATGCCTACCCATTTTGGTTTTTTATTTTTTTCTCAAATTTACAACACAAAATAAAACAGCAGATATTTTTGTTACCTCCTATTTCGCTGGTAACAAAATTTTCAGGGTAACAGTGAGCTCAGAATACGAAATGGTAACAAAATTTACTGAATGGTGTAAATAATTTAGTTACAAGATAGCATTTACACTACTCACCCAGCTCATTTGTAACACCAACAATGCACGAACAATTGGTTTACAAGTGAATGTTTTGCTTTAAAGACACGAATAATTGGATATTAAACAAAAAATCTTAATACTTTTTATAGTTTCATTTTGAGCCATATATTAAAATGTGTAAAGACACATATTTATGCTAAAACCTTCATATGCATTTACAGCGCCTATAAGTATGCCTAGCCTCATCTCTGCATCTCCACATATCTCTGTCTCTATCTGTTTCTCTTTCTCTATAATGTATAATATTTAAATCTTTTAATTGCTACCCAAACTATTTCTTGTATATTAATACTTATTTTTTGTATATACTTATTTACCAACATACATACATACATGTAAATATGTGTGCTCGAATATACTATGTATATATAACTACTTATGTACGAAACACAACAAACACCTCGTTCGTTCGTTCGTTGCGTTATGTTACGTTGTGTTGTGTTGCCTTGCGTTACGTTACGTTATGCCCGTGTACTACCTACTACTACATACTACTACTACATACTACTACTACTACTACTACTACTATTCTGCTACTATACTGCTATACTACTTTAATCTCCTACTACTCGCTCCTGCAGACAATTATATTTTTGGCCTTTTCAATTGTAATGTTTTCACTTGATTTACTCTACATAAACTCAAGGTATTCTCGCGGGTATTTATTTCTCCTTATGTCTGTTTGATTGTTTGTTTGATAATTAGTTTAATCAACTTTTAGTAAATTGTTTAATTAATCGAAAAATAATAATAAAAATAGAGATTAACTTATTCTCAATGTATTTTGTTGTTGGCGTAATTGTTCGGAATGAACGCGCTGTGGCATGACTGTTCCCAGCTGCAGTTGGTTTTTTTTTTGTTGTATACTCAAATTTACTCAACGAGTTACAGTATTTGGTTGGAGTATGTGATTTTTGAAAACTTACCCCAGTATTTGGAATTCTGTTGCATGTGATTATAGATTATATGAAATGATTTTTTTTTTTTTACTCAATATTAATTATACATTCCGTTTTTTAATTGAACTTTTACTGAATCTGCACATGTTTTTTTTTGACGTTTCCTTCACATGGGTTTTATAACTGTACTTCTGTGTGTACGTAGATTGCACAAAATTTTGCATGACTATTCATTAAATGGCATCCAAAACAAGAAAGAGAAATTTAGTTGAAGAATCCTCAAGGCTTAGAATCGACATAAAAACTCAATTTAGTTTTATATTAACTCAGTAAATATTTAGGTTTTAGGTTACTTAAGTCTAACTTCGTGAGAATACTCGACGCTATATATATATGTAAGCCAAGAAAGAGCGGTCTCTAAACAGCATTTTGACGAAACCAACGCGCCTACTACTATGTTAAAAGTTCAAATCCGCCGATACCGATCATCCTATGAAAATCTTAATGAATGTTTGTTGTAAAGAAGATCGAGAAAAAATTTGCGTTTTGCGATATTGAGGGCACTTTAATAATATCTTTCCCAAGATCGCCACAGTTGCGCGGATATTGGTAGAAACTTTGTAAAATTTATGAAATTTCTTTTAGCATACCGAGTCAATGTCGTTCAAATTTGAGGCTTATCCATTACAAGACCAAAAGCCTAAAGACTGGTCGAACAGCGTACAACTCTTGCCGTCGCTTCACCGTTAGTGTTGTCTACCAACAAAACAATTTGGTTCGAAGAATCGGATGCATGCACCGTTAATATCGTCACCACAGTAACCGAAAAAACCGTCTCCCGCCTCTGTTCTAAGTGATCTAGCGCAAGATGACTAAAACTCGTACATATATTAGTAACTAACTAGTTTGGCGCACTAGACTACGGTCTAAGGTGCTGAAACTGTGTTCTGCAAAGTGCAATCAGTTCGTACTTGTGCCATACTAAAAGCCATCGGTAGAGGCAATAAGATGCAGAGCTCGACAGCGCTGTTCTCTCAAGATTTTATACTACATGACTCCCAAAACATGCCCCGCTGCCTGAGCTAACTAACTCTCTGTTTCTTTCTTTCTCTTGGTGATTAAAATTATCAAATTATTGTTAGAATTATTTGTACTATGTACTAAGAGTTTTTTTTATATTTCTTCAGCTAAGGGTTGCATGTAACGACATAAAATAATCATATAAAGGGTGTTTTCAACTTCTGTTTTTTTTTATAATAAAACCAAACTACGTGAGATATCTCAAAAATTCTTTAATTGACTTGAAGCGATATCAAAACATTTGTGAATGGAATTCGACTTCTTTTATATGAACCCAATTTTCGATGACTCAGCCAATACGGCCGCTATTTCTTGCTCAATATTGGCTTTGAGGTCTTCTGACGTCATGACGTCGCCCTCTTGGATGTATTCCCATAAAAATACAGAGGGACTGATTTACGGCAGCCAATCGACGGTGATTAAACGTTCACCAAACTGAGACTTCAATAACTCGATTGCTACACCCTATGTGTGGATTGTGGCATCGTCTTGTCGAAACCACATATCACTAACTGATGTCCAATTCATACAGTTGCGCAAAAAAAAACATTTCAACAGATCTCTGTAGCAAATAATATTCACCGTAACATGACGGTCATTTTCAACGCCGAAAAAATGGACCAATGAGGCCACCAGGCCTGAAATTCACACCAAACAGTGGTTTTTTTTCCGTATGAAGCGGTGTTTCATGCAGCACATGAGGGTTCTAACCTGTTCAGTAACACATATTTTGCTTATTTAGGAAGCCGTTTAACTAGAAATATGCTTCATCGCTGTAGATGATTTTACTATGAAAGTTTACATTTTCTTCAATCATGTCCAGAGCTCAAT